CACCGATGAAACTAATGAGTAAAATGCAAATAAAGTTAGAAAATAGCCTCGTGTAACTCGAGAAATTCCCCTATTGAAAAGCGTCGCTGACTAGTAAAAGATTGTACGCGGGCGCAGAACAAGTTTTCATTCAGCAAAATCGAGCGGCAATGTTATTTTTACTGTTTTGTTTTTTATCAACTTTTCGATTTATTTGAGCGCCATGGGCAGCCAAGGATTATTGTGAAGGATCAAACCGGTGAAAACAAGGTTGAAGCTAATTGAATCCTGTCGTTTACTAAATCTATGAGCTGTAACAGCCTATTAACAGGTGGACGTATTTTTTTCTGTTTCGTGTTTGGTTTTGTACTTTTTGCTAAAAATGAACAATTAGGCTATGAAACTGCAATATGTTTCTGTTTACATATAATCACTTTAATCTTGTAAGAACACGACTAAAAACGTGAACGTTTTCCTGAGAATTAAACAACTTTTTAAACGTTTGTATGCAATTTTGCAAATGTTTTACAGTTGACAGTGTATATTTAAAAAAAAATTTAAAAACATTGTTTCGTAGCTATTTTTTGGTCTAGTGATATTCGTATCATATGTAGAATTGCTGTATAGAGTCGCAAGTGATTTAGCACTCAAAACGAAGTATTATTCAACGTTTTTTTCCATTAGAAACCTTTCAGAAATAGCTTTATTTTTAAAAAAAGCGTGGTCAATTTTTGTTTTGTTTTGATCATGATGTTGCGTGTGATAGTTCACGTACTGGTCCCGCGAACATCCCGCACGCAACTGTAGGGAGCCTCCTTAAAATATAATTATTTAAGTTAAAAATGTGTATAAACAAGAAGACGTACAATTCTAAAAAAGCCACTATAAAATGAAATTTCCGCAACCTTTGTGAAAGTTTATGTGAATACGCGTTGTAAAGAGCCTTCATATTTCCTCCCCAATAACTTACGTATTAAAATTAAACTTTCAAGTGCAAACCGCTGATATTGCGAACCACATTAGGAATGGCTTGCGCACGATTTATACAAAAATGGAAAAATTTCAATGTGTTTTATCAACAATCAAAGTACGAAACAATATGATTTTGTCAACTACCTGCATGGCCGCATAATTTGATATGTTATAATAATGAAAATTTCCAAATTTTAGTTGAGCACTTTGTGGGTGTGTAAGATCAAATTGTTTTATTTATTGTTATAATTGATAATTAAAGCAGAATCTAATCTTGCCCTCAATAAATTCAAACCCCGATTGGAACTTTCCATTTTTGTTCGCCATTTGCTAGCCATTTAATAAAACTTTTTAATTTAATCTCAAAATTTATTAGTAAACCAATTCCCAAACGTGCAGGACACTAATTGTCCCGCAACAATTACAGAAATACAACCGACCTGCTCAGTTCACTGGCATTCTTTTCAATGAGCCATGGCAATGCTGTGCTGAAAAACAAAGAGGACGAAACATCTTGCACAAAAAGTCGACAGGTCTCAGGTTCCTTCGACAGCTTCTCCGCCATCAATAAAGATAATTTCATAAAATCTTTAACACATTGAATATCCTCAAAGAGCACTTTATCATTTTTAATATGGTTCCAAATTCCTTGGTATCTGCAAATAATATAATGTTAATCGTAAGATAACAAAAAACAAAAACTTACGTTGCGTAAAAATATTTTTGCAGTCCTATCAGGGAATATAACCGAAACGCCTGAAAAAGTCTTATAGATATACTACCATATGCATGCAAGCCTAAAAATTTGACTGTATCTGATACAAAAACATGGGGCAAAATCTCAAACTGTAAAAGATCGCAAAATCGTAGTACTGTTTTACTGCTTTTGTAGCAGAACATCGAGCTAGCACGTCGATAAACCTTCAATCGACTAACATATGAGTCAATAACATTGATTTCAAAATTATATTCCGTTAGGCGATGAGCTATGGATATGTCTTTTTCCTCTATATCTGCATGAAACACCGACTATTTCTGCAAGATTTTTTGCATTTGTCATTCAATAATTGCGGTACTCCAATTACTTCCAAACCCTCAACGCGAGTACTGTTGTAAATTATCCATATCCGACTCTATAGAAGCTTTTGTCCCTTTTCATCCCTCTGTAAAATTTAGTATGACGGTTTTTTCAAGTTCCAGTATCTGGTTCTTAGATGCTGGTAATTAGTTTAGTAAATGGTAGAATTTATCAATGAGCAACATTTTCTGTGATTCCTTGATCTTAGAACAATGTTGGATGAGCTCACACTGCAGGCGTTCAGTTTGTTTATTTCAGATACCACATCTGAATGGATTTTTTTCCGGCAGATATTAGAAAGAAATTCCGACTTCCAAAATCGCAAAACCGAAACGTTTGTTATGTTCTGAGGATCCATATTAAATATATTTTACTCGCAAAATCGATAAAATAGCGTTCATTGTTATAGCATGCACTCAAGTAACGACACCTGACGCCATATTCTCACGTTGGCCAAATTTTAATAGTATATGA